CAAACACCATGATCAAGTAGGCCTCATTCCAGGGATGCAGGGATGGTTCAACATATGAAAATCCATCAATGTAATCCACCATATAAACAAGCTAAAAAACAAAAATCACATGATCATCTCACTAGATGCTCAAAAAGCCTTTGACAAAATCCAACACCTATTCATGATAAAGGTTTTGGAGAGATCAGGGATAGCAGGAACATACCCAAACATAATAAAAGCAATATACTGCAAACCGACAGCCAACATCAAACCAAATGGAGAGAAACTCAAGGCAATTCCTCTAAAGTCAGGAACAAGACAAGGCTGTCCACTCTCTCCATATCTCTTCAATAGTGTATTTGAAGTTCTAGCTAGAGAAATAAGACAACAAAAGGAAATAAAGTGGATACACATTGGAAAGGAAGAAGTCAAACTTTCACTGCTTGCAGACAATACAATAGTCTAAGTAAGTGACCCAAAGAATTCTACCAGGGAACTCCTACAACTGATAAACACCTTCAGCAATGTGGCAGGATACAAAATTAACTAAAAAAACTCAGTATCCCTACTATATATAGACAATAAAGGGGATGAGAAAGAAATCAGAGAAACGTCATCCTTTACAAGAGCCACAAACAACACAAAAAATTTGGGGTAACTCTAATCAAACAGGTGAAAGACCTGTATAACAAGAACTTTGAGTTGTTAAAGAAGCCAATTAAAGAAGATACAAGAAAATGGAAAGATCTCCCAAGCTCTTGGGTAGGTAGAATCAACATAGCAAAAATGACAATCTTACCAAAAGCAAGCTACAGATTCAATGCAATCTCTATCAAAATACCAGCAAAATTTTTCACCGACCTCGAAAGGACAATCCTCAACTTTATATGGAAAGACAAAAGACCCAGGATAGCCAAAACAACCCTGTACAATAAAGGAACTTCAGGAGGCATCACCATCCCTGACTTCAAGATCTACTATAGCTCTATAGTCCTGCAAACAGCTTGGTTGGCACAAAAATAGACAGGTAGACCAATGGAATTGAATGGAAGACCCTGATAGTAACCCACACACCTTTGAACACCTGATCTTTGACAAAGAAGCTAAAATTATACAATGGAAAAAAGAAAGCATCTTCAACAAATGGTGCTGGAGTAACTGGATGCTGGCATGTAAAAGGCAGCAGATAGATCCATATCTACCACCATGCACAAAACTTAAGCCCAAATGGATCAAAGACCTCAACATCAACTCAAATCACCCTGAACCTGTTAGAAGAGAAAGTGGGAGGTACCCTTGAACGTATTGGTACAGGAGACCGCTTCCTAAACATAACACCAGTAGCACAGACACTGAGGTCAACAATTAATAAATGGTACCTACTGAAGGCAAAGGACACAGTCAACAAGACAAAATGACAGCTTACATAATGGGAAAATATATTCACCAACCACACATCTGACAGAGGGCTGATCTCCAAAATTTACAAAGAACCCAAGAAGCAAGTCTCCAAAACACCAAAGGATCTAATTAAAAAGTGGAGTACAGAACTAAATAGAGAATTCTCAATAGAGGAGTCTAAAGCTGGCTGAGAGACACTTGAGAAAGTGCTCAACATCCCTAGCCATCCAGGAAATGCAAATCAAAACAACTCTGAGATACTATCTTACTCCTGTCAGAATGGCTAAAATAAAAACCACAAGTGACTATTTATGCTGGAGAGGATGTGAAGAAAAGGGAACACTCCTCCACTGCTGGTGGGAATGCCAACTTGTGCAGCCACTGTGGAGATTGGTATGAAAATTCCTCAGGAAAATGGGAATCATCCTACCACAAGATCTAGCAATTCCACTCTTAGGCATATACCCAAAAGATGTACACTCATACAATGACATCTGCTCAACTATGCCCATAGCAGCATTATTTGTAATAGCCAGAACCTGGAAACAACCTAGATGCCCCTCAACTGAAGAGTGGATAGAGAAAATGTGGTACGTCTACAAAATGGAGTACTATTCAGCAGAAAAAAATAGAATCTTAAAATTTGCAGACAAATGGATGGCACTAGAAGAAACCATCCTGAGTGAGGTAACCAGTCACGAAAAGACAAACATGGTATGTACTCACTTGTATATGTATTTTAGACATGGGGCAGGGGATTGCCTGCCTACAAAGCCACTGACAGAGAGTTTGGGAAGCAGAAAGGACCCTAAGAGAGATATGCATGGTAATCCGGAGAAGGGTTATGGGAGGAGATCTCCTAATTGGATTGGGAACAGGGGGAGGAGGAGAGGGGAGAGAAGGATGGAAGAAAAAGAGGGGGAGAAGAGGAGGGAGAGGAGAACACAGGAGAGCAGGAAGAGAGGAGAGGAGAGGAGCGGAGAGAAGGATGAGATATACCATAATAGAGGGAGCCGTCATAAGTTGGAGGAGAGATCTGGCACTAGTGAGATAGTCACAGATCTACAAGAATGACGCCAACTGGCATTAAATCTACCTTAAATGCACTCCCCTGATAATGAGATTTATGACTACCTTATATGCCATCCTAGAACCTCCATCCATTGTCTGACAGAAGCAGAGGCAGACACCCACAGCTAAAAACCAAACTGAACTCCTGCAAAGAGGAGTGATGAGCAAAGGAATCAAGACTAGGCTGGTGAAACTCACAGAGACTGCTGACCTAAACAAGGGGGAACACATGGTCCCCAGATTGATACCTGAGAGACCAGTATGGGACTGATCCAGACCCCCCCCCCCCCAACCTGGGTGTCATAAAAGAGGCCTCCGCCATGTATGGGACCTTAGAAAGGAGATCAGTATTTATTCCTGGCATACAAATAGACTCTGCGAGCCCATTCCACATTGAGGGATGCTCTCTCAGCCTGGACACATCGGGGAGGACCTAGGCCCTGCCCGGGATGATATGACAGACTCTGAAAATCCCTCACGGAAGCCCTTATCCTTCTTGGGGAGTGGAGAGGGGATGGAGTGGGGTGGGGTTGGGAGGATTGATTGGGGGGCTGGGGGAGGAGGGAAGGGAGAGGGTACTGAGAATAGCATGTGTAAAAAGTAAAATTTTTTAAAAAGTAAGGTTTTGCCGGGCGGTGGTGGCACACGCCTTTAATCCCAGCACTCGGGAGGCAGAGGCAGGCGGATCTCTGTGAGTTCGAGGCCGGGCTGGACCGATAGCCTCCGAAACAATACAGAGAAACCCTGTCTCGTAAAAAAAAAAAAAAAAAAAAAAACAAACAAAAAAAAAAGTAAGGTTTCCTCAGGCAGCTGATTGGAGCAGACGCAGAGACTCTCACCCAAACGTTAGGTGGAGCTCAGAAGAATACTTCGGAAGAGGGGAAGGAAGAATTGTAGGAGCCACAGGGGTCAAAGACACAAGAACATAGCCCATACAATCAACTAAGAAAGGCTCATAGGAGCTCGTAGAGACTGAAGTGGCAATCACGGAGCCTAAATGGGTCAGCACTAGGTCCTTTGCATACATGCTGTAGTTGTTTATCTTGAGGGTTTTGTGGAACTTTTAACAGTGCAAGCGAGTCTCTAACTCTTGCCTGCTCTTCAGACCCTTTTCCTCTTACTGGGTTGCCTCATCCAGCCTTGATGTGAGGGTTTGTGCCTATTCTCATTGAATCTTTTTATATCGTAGTCTGTTGATATCACTCGGAGGTTTGCTCTTTTCTGGAGGGAAATGGAGGAGGAGTAGTTCTGTGGAAGAGGTAACATGGGGTAGGGCTGGGAGGCATGGAGGAGGAGGTGCTGAAGCAGGGAGTTCCAAGGAATAGAGAGAGGAGAGGCTGTGGTCAGGTTGTATTGTATGAGAGAAGAATAAATAAAAAGAAAAATAAATAAACTTCTGTGTATATCCTCACCATTCTACTAAAATATTCTTGGCATTTACTACAAATAACAATTACTATGTGTAGAATTAGCAAAACACTAAGGCTTCACAGCCACAAGTATTATTATGATTTAGCATTAACTATTCTTATTATGGATCCACAAAGTCGGAGGTACTTGCTTTGTTTTCAGTTACCTTTCTTCAGAACTCTTCTTAGGGCAGGAGCAATTATACATTTCTCTGAACCTGTAGGCTCAGCAGACAGATATATTTTGAAAAGGTTAAGCTATGTTGAGCAAGGTAATCCTCAACAGATGGATACTGAAGAATTAAATATTCAGTACTTAAATTAACTTCTTATTTGGCACTTAAAAACAAATTGCCAAGAATTATCTTTATCAAACACAGCATTTACTTATTCTCTTCGAAAAAGAAAGTGAGATCTACTTGAAAAAAAGAATAACTTCAAATTGGAAAGAAAGCAGCATTTTTTTTAACAGTTTCCTGAAGCCACAAATACTCAAAACAATGTTTGGCCCCTTGAGTGTTAATGGAAATGCCTCGAAACTAGAGAAGCTAGAGAGTTTTTTTCAGGGATTGGATGTCTAGTTCAGTGGCACAGAACCTGTCTGTGTGCAACAGGCCTGGGTTCAATCTTCAGTACCATGGAGGGGTGGGAGAGGGAGCTGGGATTGACATGTGAAGCATTCATGTTTCTAATTTAATGAAAACATTACAAAAAAAGTAACATCCTAAAGTTGGGAGTGCAATATAGAGAGTGTGTGTAGTCATGAGAGTCTATTTCTTTCTTTTTCTTTGGTACTGAAGATTCTCATGTTCCTCAATTTCCACATTTGTATTCCATAAAGATGATAGATAGATAGATAGATAGATAGATAGATAGATAGATAGATAGACAGACAGACAGACAGACACTTGTAGAGTTAGGTTGATCAATGAAATTTCCTTGTGATAATGCTATGCATGAATGTGCCCCTCAGTGTTCATGTGTTAAAATTTTAATTTCCAATGAAACCATCATAAAGGTAGGACCTTTAAGGCTACATCATGAGGGCTCTCCCATCAGTGCACTAATTAGAAGACTTTCTCTCCCATTCTCTGAATATTCTGACAGTTTAAAACAAAACAACCAGGAAACTCTTACCTGTCTCTCTGTTCATCAATACAGCAGTTGCCTAAGACAGATGACCCCAATAGTCCAACCATGGGCTTGTGACCTGTCCTATCTGCAGTGTGATATACTCGAGAAGCCAGGCGCAGATCCACAGGCAACTCCAAAGCTGGGGTTGTGGTACACAGGTCATGAAGATTAGGGAAGGGATGGGCCTGTGGGATTCTGTAACAGGAAAGAAAGTGGACTTCTTTTATCATATTATGGATGTTAGATAAATACATTGATACTTGCAGTTCATTTCAGGCTCTAAAATGAACAGTCAGGTGTAGGGATCAGACACAAAACTATAATAATGCTTTGTAACAAATTTAATGTTGCAGCATTGGGAAATGAACATGTCTGCTACACATCAGACAATGAATAGGTCTAAAGCAAATTCATTCCTTCAGTGGTCTCTCCTCACTTGAATTCTGTGACTCTGTCTAGGGTTCCTTCCTCTGTTAAAGAAAAGATTGGACAATACTCACACAACAGAAGTTCATCAGTGGAACACTGTGTCTTTAGTTATCACATCCCTTCCCAATGCCAAAATGTGCCTCTCTCTTGCCTTTCCAGAGGAGCAAAGGAGTCATGATGACCTGCTTTCTTGACGTTGCATACCACCTGCCATCTAATCAACCCCTTAAGCACAAGGATGTGTGCCAGGTGCTTTACACAGTCTAACCCCTCATAAATCTGCACAGAGAGATCACCCTTTCTTTGGAGCAGGCCTAGTTTGGCTGGGTCCCCAAATTAGCAGCTCCTGGGATCCAAGTACATTATTTCTCTCTGTAAACCCAATGCCTTTCCAATTAATTCAGACTGAGAACTTCTGAGAAGTGCCCTTCATCTGATGCTACTCCACCCCAGTTCTCCCCTGCACTGGATCAAAGGAGCTTGGTGCATGTAGGACATGCTCTCCAAAACCTTCCAGCCATGCTCTGTAAGACCTTCAAGCCATGCTCTGCAAGACCTTCAAGCCACAGCTGACAGTGCTAACTCTTCTTGAAACTGTCCATTCTCTGTGAGATTTTCCAGAGCATCCTCTAGTCTCAGATTTCCATCTTTCTCTCAATTTTGTCTTAATTTGAAGTCTCTGGCTTCCCAGTTGGGCGTGCCTTCTAGGTTCCAACTTCCCTTTGAACACAAGTAAAATCCTCTCCAGTGGTATTTTTCCCTCTGCTGAATGCCCCAAATCTCAACCCTGTCATCATAATAACATAGATTCCTCATACTCAAGGTACAAAATACCTGACATCTCTCTCCTTCACTTGCAAATTCAAGGCAAAGCAGGGGTCTATCCCTTTTCTACTCATTATCAGCTTGCTTCATGGTCCTTCTCAAAGATAAGGCTGATCAGGTGAGCTGGACACTATGCCCTCTCTCTTTGCCCATCTGCAGATCCATCTTTGCTGCCTTTACTGAACACAATGGTTCTCTGTTGCTTTACTGTACCTGTCTGGCATCTCTCTAAGTTTAAAGGCATCTAGCCTTCTGTCTGGCTTCCAGCACCCAAGTTAAAAATGAACTTCTTGGGTTGTGCTGACTGTATTTAAGTACTTTTAAAACTGTCGTTTGTCTCTAGGTCTTCACATAAGAAGAGTAAATGCATTTATAACAGTCTCTCACATAGCAGATGTCAAGTGTTATCATCTTGAAGGACAACATACAAAGAGTGTTTATGTCTAAACATCCTTCAGACAATACCTGATGACAGGTGCCTCTGCAAAGACTTTTTTTCTTTTTCTTTCCTTCATTTCTGCTTTACTCCTTATGCCCCTTTTTTATATTTTATACGTGTCTCTTTCTATCCACTGTATTAGTCCTATTGTTTGTTTGTTTGTTTGGCCCTTTCCAAGTGGTATAAAGAATATAGATTTTGGAGTTGTCAGGGGTAGGATCAGAATCTTAGTTCTTGAGCTTGCAAGTTATATTGCCAACTTCTTTAAAAACATTTAGAAAAGGAATAATATAAAAATTTTCTAGCTTTTACATTTATGGTAACTGTTTTGTAAAAATAAATGAATTTTCTCTGGCTGTAGAATTACCCATTTTATTTTTATTGTTACTGAATTGCAATATATAGCATTTAGCCTACTGCTAAGCAATTATTCAGTCACACACAAAGCATAGAGTCCAACAAGAACAGGTATGACATTTATGAACACTGCGAGGGAGGAGAAAAGGTAAGTAAAGCCAGAAAAATGTGTAAGACAAGAAACCTAACCGGGAGAGTGAAAAGCAATGACCAGGAATGCAGGGCATGGTTTCTCTCTTAGTAAAAAAAAATGGGGAGAAGGGAGAAGTAGAGATGGGAGAGGGGAAGGAGCAGAGAAAAGAACAAAAAAGTAAGCTCCCATGCCAGCCTTACTTGAACCATTATCCTGCTTCAGGCAGGTCCTGGCTAGTAGGGTTTGCTTCTGATAATACTACTGATTTTAGTTTGTTGTTTTGTTTTATTGGTTTTTTTTTCAATATAAAAACCATTGCAACCATCTGAATTCCTATGCTCCCATCAGTCTAACAGCTCAGACTAGCAAATGAATCTTCCTTGGTATACTGAGCTAAACAGCAACACACTGCAAGGGAGAAGTTCCAGGGGCAATCACTTGTTTTGAGGGTTAGTCACTGGTGAGAAAAGATAGATTGGCTAAAGACAAAGGAGCAGTGTATTAAAGACTTTGGGCAATATTTTTCCAAGATTCTCTTTTATAAAACAAATTCTTTAAATGTCCTGTATGTCTTGCCCTGAATTCAGTCTTGTTTTTTTGATGGAAGTTTCTAAAATCAGCTTTTGTGAATTAAAATAACAAATATATATCAATAAGATCTACAAATATTTTTGGCATTCTCAAGAAAGCCTGTGTGTTTTTACAGCACACTCTCTTTAAGCAGGACTATTTGTCATTCTTTGAAATGTTAAGACATAAGAAAGAAAAGACCCTGACTCTGTGTGTGGCCACACTACTTTGCTTAATGCACTAAATGCAAAGATTTTTAGGGACAAAAAAAATCAAGAAGTTTCTGCTTCATTGATAATCTGACAGTAACTATTTATTGAAGGTAAAATACTTGTTGCCTGCTGTCACTATTTGTTTTAATACATAATCTTGCTAACTAAATGAGCTTAAAGCAATGCAGATAAGCAATGGCATGCACAGGGTCACTTAAATGCCAATTTCACTGTTTCATCGGCTTTGGAATTCTTTACCCATGAATCTACTCTCAGCTACTAAACTGTGAGTAATGTCCACTTACAAAGTTTAAGCCAGAACTTAACGAAAAATAAAACAGGTTGCCTTCCATGTCCAGACATTCCCAGTTTCCTGAGCAACAGCAAAAGCCAATAATTAAACTTTCTTTAAATCTCCATAAAGAGTTAAATGAAGGATAATCTAGAATAAAGCAACCCATAAAAACCAGTGGTAAAATGAAGAGAAAACCAGTTTCAACAAGGAAGAATAGCAACAGCTAAACCAAACTTAGAATTGCACTCACACCACTATTCAAACTCATGTTGTATTCGTGTGTGGTAAGAAACTCCATTAAATAGTATTTTTGTAGGCTTTTGTCTCATTTTGCTTTGTTTGGACAATTTTTGTCTTACTGGCTTTTTTGAAAGCACAATTTGGTTTCTGGTTTTTGGGAGGAGTTGTTTATGTCTTTTTTTTGTTTTTTTGGGGGGGGTGTTCATCTCTTCATTTTTTTTTGAGAGAGCGTGGGTAGAGAGGTGGGGAGGATCTGGGAGCCAATTGGAGGGGGGACAAACATGATCAAAATATACTGTGTAGAAGTTTTTTCTCAATAATAATAGAAGAAACTTCATTAAAGATATAGCCAGGGGAGAGGGAAACATGAATGTACAGTAGAGAGAAACCCAAATTACTAAACTGACTAGCCTATGTCCATATTGAGTTAGGTTTTTATTTTATCATGGTAAAATTAAACAATATAATAAAGCAGTTACTCAAACCATGACTAAAGCCGTGGTCTCTACCTCACTGTCTCTTTATTCCTCACTGTTATAAAACCATTCCTCAAAACCAGAAACAGAGATCATGGAGGGAAGCACACCCACCCCAACTAGAAAACCCGCCACCAGCCACCAACACTTCCTTTGAGAAGCTCCCACTTGGATTCCCACGTGATACGGTAAGACATTTAGTTTCTCCTCCTAAAAATGCATTTTCACGTATCAAGTCACTGAATGCCTACTCTTTGGATAAGAAGATAGTAAAGGGGTTGGAGACAGCTCAGCAGCTAACGGCACTTGCTGCTCCTAGGAAGGACTGGATCACCAGCAACCACACCATCTTTATCTCTATCTAGTTCCAAGAGATCCAATGCCCTCTTCTGGCCTCCCCAGACACCAGGCATGCATTGGGTCCTCATAACATGTATGCAAGCAAGCACTCATACACATAAAATAAAAATAAATATTTAAGAAGAAAACAGAAAATATATAAAATTAAGGAAGTTACTTTTTAATTAGTTTTTTATCCTGGTGATGTCTTACAAACTTTCTTGTTTTCAACGGCTTAAAAATTGGTCTACTTTTTTGTACTCTTTTAACTTCTTTTCCTCTGATTTGCAAAAAATCTGAAGGTTTCACCTTTAAAAACACATAAAGCATGTTGTTAGGGAAAGCTGGGTTATAAGAAGTTAGGCATTTCTTTTTTAATGCTATGTCTCATATTTAAACTCCTGATTTCTACGTGTATAGCAGAATATAAATACTAAAGGCAAGTTACTGTTTCTAAAGTCATTCCTAATTTTATGTACATATATTAATGAAAATACAAAACCATTAGTATCATATTTTCTTACAATATTTGAATTTATTACCCTAATTACTAAAGATAAAACACAAGATGAACCCAGGGTCTCAGGCAAAACAAACACTCTACCACTAAGCTATGTCCCAGCCTGATCTACTTTTCTTTTTTCTTCATGTATGGTATTTGTGTACATATGTATGTTCTCATGCATGTTTGTGTGCATGTGGAGGTTCATGACTGATGCCAAGAGCATCCCCCATCACTCTCCACCTTACTCATTGGGAGTACAGTCTCACAGTTGAACTCACAGCTCACCATTCCGGTTAGTCTTGCTAGCCAGCTTGCCCCAGGGATCCACTCTCCACCTTCTGAGGCTGGTATTCAAAGTAGGCTACAGCACCCACCTGGCATTTGTATGAGTTATAGACATGCATCCTGGCCATCTCCCCTCCTACTCTTCTCGATTGATGTTTTTTCTCTCCATCCCCTTGATTTGGTATTTTAATAAGACCCACCTTTAATTTCTGAAAGTTTCTGCTTATAATCACAGATGAAAGGAGCTTCAATGCTTTACAGTACAATTTCGAGCAATGTTTATCAAACTCTACTTCTTAGAGTTGTACTGTTTTGTATTTCTATTGCTTGGCAAACCCAAATACACTCTGTCTCACAAATAGTTGCTTCTTAATAATTATGAGTTGAAAATGTTGTTGTCTTAGAATTCCTAGAATTTTTTCAGAATACAGGGTGTTAATAATTCACACACAGGGTTTTCTCCTTGGATTGCTCTGTGCTTCTGTTTTGTTTTGAGACTTGAGGGAGGAACCAGAGAGACTCTCCTTGCAAGGCAGAAGTATAGCAGGATAAGCTAGGTAAAAGGAAGTTGTTAACAAGTTAGCTGCAGGATTGCCGCTTATTTCTTAGGTGGGGAATTAGCAAATCATGAAGGCAGAGCATTCCAGTCTCATCGGCAGTTCCCACCTGAACTTTGCCTGCAGTATCTCTGCCAATCTTGGTCATCTGCATGACCAAGGTCAGTCACAGTGAACTTGGATACAGAGTCAGCCATTTTCTCCTCCAAACACTTTTAAATTTGCTGACATTTCTGCTTTGTTTCTTTGTTACTGAGTAGAATAACTTTCATCCACCAGTCTGAATGCAAATCTCAGAAACCATTAGAGAGAGTACAATCTAGCTCCTTTTCCTTTGACAGACAATTCAATACATGGATATATTTACCACCTTGGCCAGCTTTTCCCCAGATGAACAGCTTTGGCCCCTTCAACTATCCCTGATGTGGAATGGTTTTGAAATGGTGACTCTGTCATTCCTCCTTCAGTCTAATTTGTCAAGGATCCTCATGTGGTTGGATACTCAGATATGAACACACTATTTGACATATGATATGATCAAATCAACCAAGAGAAAGATGATCCTCCTAAGGCACCTGTCAACTAATGTAAACTGCAACTGTATTTGTCTTCCCTATCTGAAAAAGGACATTATAAGTAAAAGCCCTAAGGCTGTTCACATTTGCTACTAAATCCTCCCATATTTGGTAGACCCAAAGGCATCTTCATGCCTATTAAAAGTTTAATCTGAACTGTAAGCAACTAAATTTTAGATATTATCTCTAAATCCAATCAGCAAATCTCCCATATTCTCATCCACATTATTGAGGAATATGCTAAAGTGGATACAATGTCATATCACTCCACTAGAGGCTTTTGCACACTAACCATGTACCATATAGATGCTTGACTCAGTACAAATCTATCTAGTAGTTCTAACATTCTCACTGGCAGCACTGGAAGGAGGCGTTTTTATGTGGACTGCTGAAATTTGGAGCGTAGCAACAAATAAACACTAATTGTACTAAGATATCTGTGTGCCAGATACTAAGTGCTATCTATACAGCATCTGCATAGCATCCCTGCAATAGCAAGGTGGCACTGCCATCATCCTCACCTAACAACACAGGCATAGCTTTGTAATAAGGCCCAGCTCACACCTCTAGTAATGGGGACAAAGATGCCATATCCATGAAAACTATGGGCCCAGAGCCTTGTGGCCTGTTCATGACATTCACCATAAGCAAGATAGCTAGAGTTTTTCTGGCAGTCCATCTAATAGAATTCTAAGAGAAGAAATAAGGTTGGTCTTCATGTTTGTCCCTAGGGAACCCATGTTCAAAGAATTATCTCTTCCTGGTAGAAGAGCTGAGGCACATGTTCTTAATGAGGTATTTAATCATTCTAAAGCATCCTACAAGACGAGAACAGCACAGAGATCGCAGAAATCAAGATCTTTACCCTTAGACCCTAGAGTTTTTGCAGTTGCTGTCTTCTACACTCGAAAGCTAGCTCTGTGTCTTTGCCATTTAGCACTGAGAAGCAGCAAGCACTCTGCCACTCAACATCACAGGGGGTGGAGCCAACCTGAATCAACCTGTCAGTACCAGAATTAACTCTTAAACTCTCTCAAATCGCAGGATTTGGGGTTTTTAAGCCAAATTCTTCTTTCTAAACTAAAGATTGCTTTCCTTGTCAATTCAAAATGAAGAGGAGCTCATGAGCTTCCTCTTCTCTGCCATATGTCTGCGTATTTACAATCTCAATCTTTTTACTCAAACCTAAACTGAGGAAACTGTTACCTGCTGTCATTGCATTACTCACCATGACCACAGGGGTGTCTTTCTCCCCCCACCTCTACCTTTGCAACAAATTAACATAAAAATCACCCTTTTTTGTTCTTAATCCCACTGGGGTCTCAATGCCTGTATCTCAACCTCTTGGAGTGGCTTCCAGCAGCCACATGCCACTTTCCAAGTCATTTGTGATATGTATTTTATCTCTGGTGAGTTCTCAGAATGCTGGAAGCAGAGAAGCAGTCCTAAATGGATTTGAAATGAGAGAATTTCATAGCTCTTAAGCTTTCTTCCATCTGCAATCTTGAGTTACATTATTTATAGGCTGTTACAATTGCTCTTCTAAAAAGCTACCCAGTCTGTTATACCTGGCATTTCTTCACCAAGTTGCTATCACATGTATGCAATTTTTTCTGCTGTTGGTGATGAATTAGCTCAGAACACTAGCAAGCCCTACTCTTGCAAAGAGCTTCTAGGAGGAGAATGGCCAAGAAGGCAGGGACCCTGCAGATTCTGTTTGTTGCTAGAGTTCTCCCAGCATGTGTTTGAGAAGCCTCACTCTCTCATCTAGATGTATTTATTAGCTACATCAAAAAGTCACCTTGTCTCCTGGTCTGTCTGGGTTTACTGGAGCACATTGCTCCTCACTCCTGCACCGTTGACACAACAAATGAAGTATCCGGCCCATATATTGAGTTAAAGTTCATGGATAATAACTGACATGGAGATGATGCAAACAAGCATAACATTCTGGTGAACACTTGCACAATAGGAAAGAACCCCAGAGGACAAATGTGTAAGCATTACCAAGCTCACCCAAGCTTAGTCCTGACTCTCATCAGATGCTACATTGAAGACTGTGGCCAGTGTCTGAAGAGCCCAGATGCCCTCTTACCTTGAAAATCTGTCCTTCCTTCCAAGAGATAAAAAAAGATAAGAAAGAAAAAAAAGTCCTAAAAAATCTATCTCTTATTTTGTACTTCTGACACCACACACACACACACACACACACACACACACACACACAATTACACACACTCTCTCTCACACACACCCCATATCCTTATCATTGCCTGGACACCTCTTCAAATTTGCCAAGCCCCAATTCTCACATTTCTAAGTGTTCCCAACACAGACAGGAGTGTTTTGTTTTGCTTACTTTTAAAGGTGATCGCTTGCGTGTTTTTCTGTCAGTTGTGGGACGACCAGCTTCCAAAGGCTTACTGGAATCCTCTACTGGCACAATTTCTAACATTTCCTGAGACTTAAACTCTAAGTTCTCTTCTCCTAAGACTCCCCATTCCAAAAGATCCTCCTGTTCAATCTGGAAGATGCTTGACACAGCCTCAGGAAGCTCCTCATAAATACTTTGCTGGAGAAAAACACAAGGACAAAAAGTTTATCTTGCTGGCCCTTCTGGGGTCTCCAGTTCTACACTGTGTTCTATCCAGCCACAGATGGATCAGTAAATGCATGTCTGAAACTCATCTGAGCTGCCAAATTCTTTTTCTCCAGATTTCAAAAGAAAACGTCAAATCGACTTCATAATAAACCTGAAAGCCAGCAAATTATTTTCCCTGCCCTTATGTCACCAAATCCTAAGGGAGAAAAGTCTTCATAGACACATTTCTTTGTTAGTCAATTTTTTAAAAAGATTATTTGGGATTATGGACCACTGGGAGTTAAAAAACCACTGTCTCAAACAATGAATCTAATCCGACTTAAATAAATGTCTGAATTATATAGAGTGGCTTTACAGTACAATTATACCATTTTGTTCTTTGATATATAATCAAAGATGTTGTGCAGTGCCAAACACCACACAAGTGTCTTTGTTATAGAAGAAGTAATAACTGGATTAGGAGCTTATAAAATACAGCACTAGCCTTGAGCTCATATTTTTATACAGTGACTGACTGGTGGTGCTAAAGAAAAATTAACAATACTTCCAAGATTATGGGACTGACCCAAGTCCTGGATCTGCTGATGCATAGATGTTTGACCCTGATCAAGTTAGTTACATTATTTTCCTCATTGATATGGGAAATTTCATAAGATGACAAAGTACATACATTGGGTTATTACATGCTATGCACTCCGTTTTCATCCTCTCCACTTGCGATCAATTGATGTGTTTTATGTTCCACAGCTGTGGGTATTGTCAAACACTTCCCTCTTTCGCATTTCTCTGCTCCTAGCTTCTTCCATGTAGTCTCACGGAGTTCAAGTTGGGGAGACTGAACAAATGGAAGCAGCATCCATCAAAACTGAAATCGGAGCAAGAAAAGCTGACAGGAGGGTGATGATAGCCCTCCAGCTTCCGTCCTCCCTGCTTCAGGAATCTGTCCAGTCTCACCTGTTCTCCAAACCCTTCCTAACATTTCCCTCCTGAGCCTGCCTCCATTCCAGCTTGTTAGCATACAGTGCTGTAACTGCCTCAGCCGCAGAATCATAATCCTAACTGCTCATATGAGCACTGCTCATCTATTTAAATAGCACAGATCCATGCAGTAGGAGCAGTGTATAACCCCGTGCTTTACGGGTGAGAGACACTGAGGGTTTGACAAACTGGTTAATCTGACCAAGGTCATACTCTCTAAGTAGCAAAGTTGTCCTCTGTCCTAGACAATCTCCTTCTAAAGTGTGCACTATCAATTTGTCTCTCACTTGATATAGATTCACGGTTCCAGAAATTTGGCTCACAGATGCCTGACAATATTTGAAACCCTTCTAGGAGGGCTGCAATGTCAAGTGACTTTAATAATATTAAACTGTTATTACTCACCTTTTCCCACTGTGTTGAAATTTGCACAGATGATGAAAAACAGTGGCGAGTAAAACGGTGAATGCTACTTCTCAAATGCTTAACACATGAGACCATAAATCATCTAAGGTGAAAGATGAGCTTACAAAAGACCCAAGGATTTCACTGCACACGTGCATGCAGTTCACGCATCTGGGCTCTGATTCCATACTGCAATGAATCTTTAAGCACCACTTGTATAATTTTTGTGCGTTAACCAGGAAACATTTATTGCTATGGTAAAAGCTATTAAAATGTGACTCACTTTCCAATGTATGTGACACTAGATTTAATATAGTTCATTTGAAAGAACACATTACTATATATATATATGTATATATACATACATACATACATACACATACATACACATACATAAAGTGTCAGTCCATACAATTTCTTTGTTATCATTTGTGCATGAGAGTGTGTGAATACAGGTATGTGTGTACAGGTCAGACAACAGCTTTACAGTGCTGCTTCTCTCCTTTGACCATGGGATCTGGGGATTGAACTCAGGTTGTCAGATTTGCACACTAGGCACTTTTACACATGAAGCATCTCTTAGGCCCTGAAAATTATATTTTATGTTAATATGTAATCGGCTCTAAAATGTTCTCTTAAATAAAAAAAGCCACATAAATTCCTCGGTTTTAGTTTTATCCAATAGATAAAATTAATTGACACAATTCACTTGTATCATTTTGGTTTTTCAAGACAAGATTTTTTTTCCACTGTATAGCCCTGGCTGTCCTGGAACTTGCTTTTTAGATTGGACTGGCCTCAAACTCTCAGACATCCACCTATCTCTGCCTCCCTAGTGCTGGGATTAAAGGTGTGTGCCACCACCACTTGGCAGCATAATTCACTTTAACAAAAGTTCCTTGGATAGATATCTTTAAACAATTCTAATTGTCCAAAAGCATCTTATCCTTTAAAAAATGGATTCTTCAAATCCTTAGTTCAAAAAGGTTCTTTAGAAAAGAAATTGTAGGGCTGGTAAATGGCTTGGCAGTCAAAACAATTTGTCCTGTAAGCATGATGACCTGAGTTTGATCCTTAGAATCCACATAAAAGGCAAGATGCAGAGGATGCCAACTAAACTGGAGTCTGAGGCACAGCAGAAGCAGAGAGCTTGCATTGGCCTGCCTCAGTAAGGTAAGGGGACAGAACCAATGCCTGAAAACTGTCTGACCCCTCCACACACACTGCAGCACAGACACACCTGTACACAAGCAAACAACACACACACACACACAAAGACACAATTTTTAAAAGACAATGTATCATATCTCTCTTTAATATTCCAGGTATTTAGCATACTGTAGGCATTTATCACTATTTATAATAAGTAGATGAATAATGGAAAGTAAATTGCTTCAGTTTTCATCTACCACATAATTATCCTTTACTAGAACACTTATAGTAGCGTATGTCTACCTATTGGCCTATGTACTAAATGAATTACTCCAGGACAAGAACTGCTCTTCCTCTGTCCTTTCTATCAACCTGTCTAAAGCATTTTAATGAGTACATTAAGTCAATCTTATTCTATTTCATTGTGTTAAAAATAACTCATCTTATATTTTAAATTTACTCTACACAATACTGAATTAATGACCTGTAGTAGTGCTACCTTGAGGCAGGTTAACCCTAGATACAGGTTAAGCCCACAGTTTCCTGTATGGTAAGGCTTGACAATTAGTCGACCCACATACCATTGTCAAGTAGCTACTAGTATCACCATACAGGTAGTTCTGAGACAGGCTGTTTGCATACAAAGGGGACCAAAGACACAGTCCAACCAAAAGCATCTATTAGTGTAGCAGGTCTACCATCTGGGGTACCCTTGTTGCTTACAGGCTCCAGAGCTTCATGAAAACAGAAGGTTCTATATGTTTAGTGGATGCTATTCTAAAATTAAATGTAATATATATGCACATACAGGGTTATATTTTCAAAACTCTCAAGTAAAGCAACTTATCATCATGTCTTCTTAAGTAAATGTGGATTTGCTTTTAATTCATTACTTTTACTTAATGTTAACTTTTACTTTAAGTGGAAACACTTCCCATTATCAGAGAAGACGTCCCATCTTATTTCAGATACCATCATTATTTTGCCAGTGGTTGACAGGAAGCAAGCTTTGCTTTTGAAAAACGTCTGCTACCCACTGTCCAGACTGTGCCTCAGCAGTTCTTCTATCTAAATGCATATTAAAACAATGCTTTCTTGGAGGCTAATAATTTAATTATGTCTCAAACTACCTTCTATATTTAAGCACCTCTAATTCAGATGAGCTATTAATAACCTTTCTCTCTGAAAAAGGTGTTTGACACCACTCAAAACCATTTCTGAGAGCCAAGGGAGCCAGAAAATACCCATGTGGCTTTGGATCAGATGCTTAAACACACTCATACAGTAAGTTAGAGGAAATTGTTTTTAACCCTCTGCAAACATTCAATCAGTAGGAACCACATTGTTATTTTAATACAGGAAAAATGGTTTTTACTGGAGATGATACTGTGATTTGCTGCGCCTTAATAGTTGTCTGGGACTCTTTCTCCTCTTCTTGCTTGGGTGTTTGTATAAGAGATGGTCTGAGGTACATTTGTTCCATAAAAGAAATACTCTGAAAAGAAAAACAAAGTAATCTCAATAGGCAAAAGCCACTGAAAGGCATTACTTAACATGTCAAAGTGTTAGGCATTTAAAACAGTAAATTAGAAATGCATAAGAGAAATATAAAGTACTTGATAACATTCAATAAATTAGAAAAGTATCTTTAAAACTATGAAAATATTTTTGTGTGGATGGGCATGGTGGTACATGCCTTTAAACCCAACACTTAGGAAACACATGCAGACAAATCTCTGAGTTAGAGATCAGTCTAATCTACATAATGAGTTCCAGCCCATTCAGGCTATATAGTGAGACCCTATCAAACACACACAAAAAAGTTTATTATATTTCATGGGCTTTTAAATTGTAGACCTTTATAAATAGATGATTAAATTTAATAATACAACTATATAATATTGTATCAGATGAGATGAAACACTGTTATTTAATCAGGTATTGTAATCAATGCACAAGAAACTAAAATCAAACCTAAAATTTAATCCAAGCAAAAGTAATATGAATACATTTTAACCACCACTGACTGGCACTGTTAGTGTCACTTTTACCATCACTGACGAGGTTACAATGACCAGCACTCTACTTAACTATGGTCATAAGAAGACATTTCAGGGGCAAACAATAAACCCAGAATCACGAGCCCCTGGTAAAGTAAGTTTGTTTACTTTTACCTCAATTTTATCACCCAGGAAATCAACTGTATGACTTTCTAAGGCCACTTGTTTCTCTAGCTGTTTAGTAATGTCAACAGCAAAATCTAAAAACATCCAGACACAAAACATTCATGAAATCTTGGATACTAAGAAAAGACAAAATTTATGAATGATAGAGGTAGAAAAAGAAGAAACCTAGTAGGAGGCACAGAAAATTATGTTTTTAATCATAGAAGTAAACTTCCCCACATAAATAAGCAGATACCTATGAAGGCACAAGAAGCATACAAAACACCAAATAGGCTGGATCAGAAAAGAAAATACCTAGGACACATAATAAATGAAAGCACCGAGTTGTGTGATATTTGTACACTGTGTAAAGGTGTATTACTGTGATCAGTATAATAAAGACCTGAATTGTCAGTAGCTATGAAGGAGGTAGAGTCAGGACTTCCTTGCAGAGAGAGAGACAGAGGAAGTAGGAGATGAATCTAGGCAGACCAAGAGAAGCAAGGAGACATAGAGGAAGCAGGACTAATGGTATGTAACAGAACATAGATTAATAGAAATGAGTTAATTTAAGTTACAAAGTTGAAAGCAAGTCTAGTTTGCTTCCAGGTTCTGGCTATTACAAATATTGCTGCTATGACATCCTTGTTGTATGAATGGGCATCTTTTGGGTATACCTAAGAGTGGAATTGCTGGGTCTTGTGGTAGACTGATTCCCATTTTCCTGAGGAATCTCCATACTGATTTCCAAAGTAGCTGTACGAGTTGGTACTCCCACCAGCAGTGGAGGAGTGTTCCCCTCTCTCCACATCCTCTACAGCATAAACTGTCATTGGTATTTTTGATTTTAGTCATTCTGACAGGAGTAAGATGATATCTCAGAGTTGTTTTGGTTTGTATTTCCCTGATGGCTAAGGATGTTGAGGACTTTTTTAAGCGTCTATCAGCCATTTTGGATTCCTCTATTGAGAATTCTCCACTGAGTTCTGTACCCCACTTTTTAATTGGATTATTCGGTGTTTTGGTGACAAGCTTCTTGAAATTTTGGAGATCATCCCTCTGTCAGGTATGGGGTTGGTGAAGATCTTTTCCCATTCTATGTACTGGCATGTTGTCTTGTTGACTATGTCCTTTGCCTTACAGAAGCTTCTCAATATCAGGAGGTCCCATTTATTAATTGTCAACCTCAGTGTCTATGCTACTGGTGTTATGTCCAGGAAGAAGTCTCCTGTACCAGTTTGTTCAAGAGTACTTTCCACTTTCTCTTCTACGAGGTTCAGTGTGGTCGGATTTATGCTGAGGTCTTTGATCCATTTGGACTTAAGTTTTGTGCATGGTGATAGACATGGATCTATCTGCAGTCTTCTACATGCCAGCATCCAGTTATGCCAAAAACATTTGTTGAAGATGCTTTCTTTTTTCCATTGTATAATTTTAGCTTCTTTGTCGAAAATCAGGTATTCGTAGGTGTGTGTGTGTGTTAATATCAGGGTTTTCAATTAGATTCCACTGGTCTACCTGTCTACTTTTGTGCCAATAACAAGCTGTTTTCAGGACTACAGCTCTATAATAGAGCTTGAAGTCAGGGATAGTGATGCCTCCAGATGTTGCTTTATTGGACAGGGTTGCTTCAACTATCTTGGTTTTTATTTTCCATATAAAGTTCATAATTGTTCTTTCAAGGCCTGTGAAGAATTGTACTGGTATTTTGAAAGGGATTGCATTGAATCTGTGGATTGCTTTTGGCAAGATTGCAATTTTTACTATGTTGATCCTACCTATCCATGGGAGATATTTCCATCTTCTGGTGTCTTCTTTAATTTCTTTCTTTAAAGACTCAAAGTTCTTGCTATACAGGTCTTTCACTTGTTTGGTTAGAGTTACCCCAAGATATTTTATGGTGTTTGTGGCTATTGTAAAGGGTGGTGTTTCTCTGATTTCTTTCTCATCCCTTTTATGATCTGTATATGATAGGGCTACTGATTTTTTTTAGTTAATCTTGTATCCTATCACTTTGCCAAAGGTATTCTTCAGCTGTGGGAATTCCCTGATAGAGTTTTTCGGGTCACTTAATGTAAACTATCATATCATCTGCAAATAGTGAAAGGTTGACGTCTTCCTTTCCAATTTGTATCCCCTCGATCTCCTTTTGTTGTCTTGTTGCTCTAGCTAGAACTTCGGGTACAATATTGAAGAGATATGGAGAAAGTGAACAACCTAGTCTTGTACCTGATTTTAGAGAAATCTTGTTGAGTTTCTCTCCATTTAGTTTGATGTTAGCTGTTGGTTTACTGTATATTGCTTTTATTAAGTTCAGGTGTGTTCCTTATCCCTTATCTCTCCAGGACCTTTATCATGAAGGGGTGTTGGATTTTATCAAAGGCTTTTTAAGCATCTAGTGAGATGATCATGTGGTTTTCCTTTTGCAGTTTGTTTATATGGTAGATTATATTGATGGATTTTCATATGTTTAAATCATTCCTGCATCCCTGGGATGAAGCCTACTTGATCATGGTGTATTCACATTACTTTTGCTTGGATTAAGTTTTAGGTTTGAGTTTAGTTTCTTGTGTAATGCTTACAATACCTGATTAAATGGCAGTGTTTCATCTTACCTGATACAATATTATATAGTTGTATTATTAAATTTAATCATCCATATATAAAGGTCAACAATTTAAAAGTCCATGAAACAGAATAAATCTATTTTGTGCATGTGTTTGTTAGGGTTTCATTACACAGCCTGAATGTGCTGGAACTCAATCCCAGTTCCCTCTCCCTCTTGCCCTTCCACTTCTCCCACAATCTCCCCACACCCAATCCATTGCTCAGAGAGGGCAAGGCCTCCCATGGGGGATCATCAATGTCTGTCACAGAGGATCTTCCTTTTTGCTGCATCCAAGCAATATCCCTCACTACCAGGGATAGACATCACCTCATGGTAAAAGAGTAGATAAAGATATCGCAAGCAAATGAACCCAAGAAGCAAGCAAGTTAGAAATTTTAATATCTGACAAAATTGAATACAAACCAAAACTAATCAGAAAAGACATGAAAGGACACTACAGACTTATCGAAGGAAAAATCCAGCAAGAGAATATTGCAATTGTGGTTCCTGCCAATAGAACCACCTCAAGATCCCACTATACTTCCCTTGGGCATATATCTCCAAAGGACTCTACCCCCTACTACAGAGATCCTTCCTATCCATATTCATAATTGCTCTATTCATAACAACCAGAAATTTTAAATGGCCTAGATGCTCATCAGTTGATGAATGGGTAATGAAAATGATACATTCATACAATGGAATATCATTTGCTGTTAAGAAAAACGAAATTCACAAATAAATGAAGAGCACTAGAGAAACAAATCATCCTGAGATAATTCAGACCCCACAAGACAAATATTGTATGTTTTCTCTTCTATGTAGATGTTAGTTTTTAAGATTTCAAAATGTGTGCTACAGTCTGAATAACCATAGAGGTTAGGTACCTAGACAGGGACTGGGTGGGGGAAAGTTCATTAAGGAAGGAGAAACATAGTATTATGGACATACAAAGGTGAAAGAAACTAGAATAGAAGAATTAAATATTGAGGGGAATGTTTAATATAATTAATACTAAATATGGGAGAAAATAAGGGGGAGAACAGCTAATACTAAAGGAAGCTTCCTTAAATATGTACATATATGAAAGAAATCTAAATGGAGTCACCAAATAAAGGAGACACAATTTCCCAACTAGACATCTTATGCCATCATGTAAAACCCCAATGCCAGGAGTGGGTTGCATCTTGCTGATCACTGGCCAAAGGTGCTCCAAGGAAACTGCCAAACATCACAGGTTATTGCCTAGGTTATTGGCTGTTCTCCACAACCTGATGGTAAGACCCTATTACTGAAGACAACACTTACTTATGCCGTCAAGCAAGTGCCTAACTAGAAGCTTTACTCCTACTTGAAGGTACTCTGCCTCCTACCAGAAGAGACAGGTAATCATCAATATCATTGAGCTACTAGCCCTGTTACCTGTAACAATAACATGCCTGCAAGATACATTGGTGAAATGTGACACAAAGGTTATGTGAGTAACCAACCACTTGTTTATTGGAATTTTGTGGGACTTTTTTTTATTTCATTGTCATTTGTTTGTCTAAAGGGGAAAGAGAAAAATTTAAAGCTGGGTGGATAGAGAAGTTGGGTGAGAATGAATTAGGAGAGGGGAAAACATGATCAAAATATAACAAAACAAGGAAATTTTTTCAATAAAAGGGTAAAATACAATGTGAGGATTCACAAGTTTAGAATGACTATTCTAGCTGTAAAGAA